GTTCAAGTCCCAGGAGCAGCAAAAACAAACAAACATACATCTTTATCATCTTTGTTTAGTTTTTTTTTCTTGTTATATAGTCAATCTTAAATGTGGAACTGTTTTATTTTTCCTCTGAAGATCATAGTTGCTTTGCATTTAACTTATAATAAAAGGCCTTTTGTGATTAAAAACAAACAAACAAACACACATAAAGAGATGTCACTGGACAGAGAAACTCAGTTCTCTGCTCCTATCAGATCTTACGCAGGGGACAGATCTGTGCAATCATGAATTGGAGGCTGGCACAAGGAAACATTACCAGGAGCTACCCATCGCCTGCCTGTCACTTTGGCTACTTCTGTTCTGGAAACAGCCTGCATGGGTGTCTTCTCATACTAACTGTGTGGTAGCCTGATGTCTGCAGAGCAAGCAAAGACTTTTCTACCTGACCAGTAAGTGGAGTGGTTGGAGATGTTGTTCTTGGATTTGTGACATCCAAACTATTTCCTCACCCTCAGGGAGGACCCAAAAACTAGGAGTTGTTTGTAGAAATTTTTTTTTTTTTTTTTTTGTCGGTCGTGGGGCTTGAACTCTGGGCCTGGGCGCTGTCCCTCAGCTCTTCAGCTCAAGGCGAGCGCTCTACCACTTGAGCTACAGCGCCACTTCCGGTTTTCTGGTGGTTTATTGGAGATAGGAGTCTCACGGTCTTTCCTGCCCGGGCTGGCTTTGAACCACGATCCTCAGATCTCAGCCTCCTGAGTAGCTAGGATTACAGGCGTGAGCCACCAGCGCCCGGCTTGTTTGTAGAAATTTTATATTCAGCCATAATGCATTTTGCATTTGCAGCTAACATCTCTGGCTAATACAACCCATGAAATGAATGCCTGAAAAAATACAACAGTTTTCTCTTCTCCACAGGCCTGCAGTTTGAATGAAGCCTTTAAAATGTTTCACACCCATGTCATTGTCACTTAAAATCATACATCTTGCTATGTCATTAGATCATCTCTTCAGTGATCTCCAGGTCCAATTTCTTAATAGGAAATAAAATGTGTCATGGTATGACTATCAAACCCAAGACTCTTATTGAAGAGTATTCTTCAATAAGTATTGAAGTATTCTTCTTTGACATCTCAAACAATAAAAAGGGGAGTGAGTGATTGATTACAGGTGTCCAGGAGTGCTAGACAATTATTCCTACCTTCCCCGCCCATGAGACCACCTAGGAGAACAGCTGGTTCGATTCCCTCCATCTTGGGACAATTGAAAGTACAAGTCTTGCTGTCTTTGGCATTTACCATAAGCTTAACACATTGTTTGGTTCTTTTCTCAAGCTCAGAGACAATTATTTTTTAAACAGTCATATTATTTTTGTATTATATAATTCATTCCTGTCTTTTATCAATATACTTCGAACTAGGGAATCACAGATATTCATGGGCTTGCTCAGTGAGTCTCTTGACTCTTGGTTCTGTGGTTGTGACTCCTGTCTGATCTTGCATTCTGATCAGAAGATGAGAACGTATAGTTATGTGAACTGGCTTCCAGGACATTTAAATTCTCCCTTGAGAAACAGTTCAATGACTTCTGTGGTTGGTGTGTGAGCTGAGGGTCAGGGTGCACCAAGATACTGCACTCTGGATGGATTTGAAAAAAATACGTGTATTTAAATGACTCCGAAAAGTATAAATTCATTGTTTTGCTAAAACTGTAAGAAAATGTTTGTATTAAAATTGTATTTATTAAATGCTTTTTAAAGTTACATAGTCCCCTAAATGTACTTTAATGTTTTACTTTAAGTAATCTTTATTCATACTACAGAAAAATTATGCATTCTATGCAACTGCTTGCCATTTTACAACCAACCAAAGCAGAGTCTAGAGTAATATGAATCTTCCCAAGACACTGGAGCAACATATTAGGAATTAATTGCCTTAATGAGGAATGGGGTACCAAGAAGTATAAAAAAATCAAATTGGTCTTTATCATAGCATATACAAATTTGAATTAAGCTTGTATTAAACAATTTAAGAACAATATAGAGGGACAGTTACCAAGATAGTCAAAGAAACAATGTGTTTTGCCAAAATATTTGGCAGATTTGATTTCAGCTATATAAGAATACTGACTATTGTAGTAACTTTCAATCGACAGGTTCTGTTTTAATAGCGGGAAACCAGGCACCCGCAAGCCCACACTTATGTGTGTTTGTGTATGCAGGTAGAAAAACCTCTCAAAGATTCAGCCTACAATTTCAGGACTGTGTTTGATTGTGCGCTTCAAATAATGCACTCTTGAGAGCTATTATAAAAATGTTTAGGAAGCCTTAGGAGTTTGCAAAGGGACCACAGGATCTTGGTCATTTCTACAGCCATTGGGTAAGTATGATGATGGGTGTACAGAGAGAATAGTAAGAGAATTTTCTAAAGAAAATAAGAAAAGAATGGGGAGACCCAAATACCAAGGAGGAGGAACTTGTAGGAAGAGAAATATAGGGTGTCTAGTTATGCATATAGGCTACCAAGTCCTTAGAGATGGAGGTGGCTGTGCTGTACCAGGGGACGATGCTTCGGGTTGGAGCCAGAGTGAGGAAGAGGGCAGCAACGCATCACCATGGTGAGGGACATGCTCAAGGTGATGCAAAGCAAAAGACCCCTGCAGGCTCGGGCTACTTCCATGGCTCCCCTGGAAGCATGGTGAGGCCAGTCAAGCTCCAAGTTCAAATCTAGACCAAGCTTACATCCCCACTGGCTCTAAACCTCACTAATGTTGACACTCAGATGAGTCTACTTGGGGACTTCTTGTAAATTGGTTTTCACTCTAGGCACTTGACATTTGGAAGGGGACGTGAAGCACCACATTTTTCTGACCCAGGCAGCCCCTGCAAGGGTGTTATCATGAGCAAGGACAGGGACAATGGTGCCAGACAGTAAAGCAGAGTCTTGTTTAGGAAGAAACGTCCAGGAGACCACATCCAAGCTGTCTAGCCATTGCCAGGAACATGATTCTGAAGTCATTCTGCAAGTGGACCTAATTAAGACTTGAAGCAACTTGAATCTAAGTCGGAAGTTGTCCCAAACACCTGTACTCCTCTCCAACACCCTGTTCAGCCAAGGCTAACCCCATGGATTGACCAGGGTGGCTAGAGTTTCAAGGACTCTCTTAAGAAGCTGTCAACCAGAAGGAGGCAGAAAGGAGCGCACATTGGCTGAGTGCTTGTATATAGTCAAGGCTCTGACCTAGGCTGTCAATTGTCATTTTCTTTAATACTTACTACTGAGTGTGTGTGTGTGTGTGTGTGTGTGTGTATGCATTCGTGCATGTGCATGCAGTACTCAGGCTTGAACTCAGGACCTTCGCTCATGCTTAACTTTTTCACTGAAAGCTTGCACTCTACCACTTGAACCACACATCCATGTCTGACTTTTTGCTGGAGATGAAAGTCTCAGAGACTTTCCTGCCAGGGCTTGAACCAGCCTTCTGAATAGTTAGGGTTATAGATATAAGCCACTGGTGTCCATTAATACTCATTACATTTTAATAAGGATAAGTTAATAATCTTGGAGTAGCATAGAAAGTAGGTGTTTTGGTCAGGATCACAGAATGCTGCCACAATATAATAAATGCCTGACCCTAACATGTATGCTATTTCAACAAACCAAGCAAATTCTTTTTTAAAAGTCTAGGTTTATTAATTCTTATTCAACATATAATTGTCTTAATATAAACTAAACCATCTATAGATACTAAACATCTATAGATTCTAAAAATTTTGAAATGACAATAAAATTAGAAAATAGACTGAATGCTAATGAAAATATAGTCATCAAAGCTTAAAAGGTACGGCTAAACCAGGGCTCCGAGAAAATTTCTACATTTGAAATATATATATATATGAAATAGGCTGAAACAATCACCTAAGCTTCTGTGTCAAAAAACTGAATAAAGGTATTCAGAGAAATTAGAAGAAAATTCTGTATTTCTAAAAATAAAGAGAAAAGAAATCAATTTGAAATAAAACACAACTAAAGTAAAGGCTATTTTTTAAAAAAGTAAAATTATAAACCCAAAAAAGATTGATTTTAAAAAAAATAGGAAAAAACACAAATTGATGGACCAGGAACATATTTTGCAACTGCTTACTAGTTTTATAAGGCACTGAACATCAGGAGGAAGAAAAGGAAGAGAAAAAATTAACCTGTTTTGATGCCTCCAGAAAAAAATTACATTCCAGATTCAACTGGATTCAGTTTAATCCAACATGCAAATGTGTTGGAAGAAAACTTAAGCTACTGTCAGTTTGCTGTTCTAGAAAAACACTAGTACATATATTTTGGAGTTGGACAGAGCTGAGTTAAAATTTAGCCCCTGTCTTGATCTTAAATCTATGGCTTTAAGTTATATTTTATATTTATTTTTTTTAAGAGTTTGACTTAGTTTTATTTATTTTATTTATTTATTTATTTATTTAGTCAGTTGTGGGGCCTGAACTCTGGGCCTGGGCGCTGTCCCTCAGCTCTTCAGCTCAAGGCTAGCACTCCACCACTTGAGCCACAGTGCCACTTCTGTCTTTTTCTGGTTATGTGGTGCTGAGGAATCGAACCCAGGGCCTCATGCATGCAAGACAAGCATTCTACCACTGGGCCACCTTCGCAGCCCTATTATATATTTATTATATTATATTAATAACATTATATTCCAGGCCTGTTGGAAGAGACATCAAGCACCAGGAACAAGGGTGAGTTAAATTCTTCAGTACACTTCCCCCACCAAATAACTCATGACTCTGGAGTTTATAGTTCATCTGTCTACAGGGAGGTCCAAAAAATAAGTCATTTATTCATTTAAAAGTGTGGTGTCTTATGAACACTTTCATCATTTAATTGTCCTTTGCCTGCTTAATAAAAAATATTTGGTGTGATCATTTTTTTCAACAGGTAGGATGCTACCAGCTGGGTTAAGGATAGAATTGAGTGGTAGAGGGTTGGTCTAGCACTACAGGAAAAGTTAGCATGAAATAACTTACAATAACACTTCATTTTAATATATTTTTCTTTTGCATAGTAGTAGGACACAATAAGAACTATGCTAGTAACATATGTGATTTTTCATAGTTTTGTGGGGAAAGGCTTCCATCTCCAGTGCTGATGTTGTCACAGAATCCTACTCCAGATATTTAACTCTCCAGACCTCAGCTCTGCTGAGCCACACATGGGGAATATATTCTCCAAGGAGTCAAAGGCAAACCACTCATGGTTCAGATATTATTAGCGGCAAGAAGGATGCTCAGGATCTTTCACACACTGAATGAGCTTGATAGGCCTGTAGAAGGAAAGCACAAAACAAGAAATCAAGAGGCAGCGAGAGACATCTGAGGTTTGATTGACCAATGAAAAGAGCTCCTTCCTTAGCCTAAGCCCAGTGTGCATCTTTTGATGCTCTTCCCTGAATCACAACAGTGAGAAAGGCCCAACCCCCATGTGAACCACTGGCAGACAGGGCCAGATTTAATCTCCTTTCACTCTGAAATACGAGAAGGAGTGTCTGATGTAGTATGAGGGCAAAAGTGCCTGAGTTTTACGTGTCTTGAATATGTGCTACCAGTATGGGCTAATGATCAAGAAACAGCAAATCAGCCACTGGGACCAAGAATACCCAGTTTCTAAGGATGGTGAGCTTTGGACTCTTCAGAAACTTTCTGAAGGATTGAGGCAACACAGGCTTTATGGACTCTCTGGGAGAAGGCTAGAGGTCATTGACCGAGGCCCATCCTTACCTTGCAGAAAATAAACTTGAGATAAGTAGGTAACAGGTCAATGAAATGCTAGCCTTTATTCCTTTAATGTGCGAGAGCAAGCAACAGAGTCTAAACAAAAGAGTAAGAGGCACATGGCTTGTAGTGGGTTAGCTGTAGTGAGGAGTGGTTTGTTCAATTGTAGCTAAGTATGACTTTTGCTGAGTCAAGGAAGAAGGCCAGCATTAGACTTCTGGAAGAGAGATGTCTCAAAACATGTCAGGCTGATGTGGGAATCAACTGTCATGTTCCACCAGGCCCAGTGACTCTTTTGTAGCTTCAGTCCTTTCTCTCCAACATGATAGCTTGGGATTCCCACATGAACACCTTCTCCAGAAAGGGTATCTTCCTCCTCAAGGAAATCCTACCATGAATAAAGAGTCTTCCCAGGCTGTTTAGGGTTTTCTGAAGTTGCCTTTGCTCTATATAAAATGAGGGCAATATGAGTATACTTCTTAATCATAGTTTCTCAAAGATAGCTTGAGAATCTGGTTGAGCATCACTTTGCAATTAAGATTCTCTATAGGTAACTGTTCATATACAATGTTCCAATAAAATCTCTTCGATTGGGCAACAGTATATGAGATAAATAAAGACAGTCCATTTTGAAGCAACTAAGGAATTTGTGAGCTTGTATGCATGGTGAAATGACCGTGCATGCTGATCATTTGCTGTTTTATGGTTCTCCACAAAGGTATTACTACCCCTGTTCACGAGACTGGTTAAAACACTCCCTAACAAATTCTGAGCTAAGATATGGAACCAACCCAGATGCCCCTCAGTAGATGAATGGATCAAGAAAATGTGGTATATATACACAATGGAATTCTATGCCTCCATCAGAAAGAATGACATTGCCCCATTTGTCAGGAAATGGAAAGACTTGGAAAAAATTATATTAAATGAAGTAAGCCATGCCCAAAGAAGCATAGGTCCCATGGTTTCCCTTATTTGCAATAACTAGTATATGTCTGAGTCAAGCAGAAAAGGTCAGATAAGTTGATGTTAGGGAAATGAACCCCAAGATATGTATTCAAATGCTTTTTTTCTTTCATGTGATTGTTTCTAACATATTTATAAGATTATTTCTTTGTTGCTTTGTATGTCCCTCCCCCACGGTATAACCCCTGCTTTCACTGTACTTGATGTCGGTATAATTTGTGGAGGGGAAGGGGAAAAACAAATTATTTAAATAGGGATACAGGTGGACCTATTGCTACAATGAGATGTACAAGTTGTTATGTCGAAAACGAACTTTACAACTTTGGTGAGGTTTTGGGGAGGTTTTGGCAGGGGTGTGGGGGGAGGATGGGAAGGGATGGGAAGGGGAAACAAAGGAGGAGGCTACAATGCTTGATAAGAAATGTACTCATTATTTTGCCCATGTAATTGTAACCCCTCTGTACAGTATTTTCACAATAAAAAAATAAAAAAAAAACAAATTCTGTATTCTTCTATCAGGACAATGAGTATACACAGAAAGAAAGGATAATTCTTAAAGGACATTTAGCCAGATATTAGTAGTATGGAATTTGCTACAGGAGTAGTATTAGAATCATTGAGAAGCCTAACCTAGATCAACATAATTTCTACTTCTGCTTATTAAATAATCATACCAAAACCTGTAGACAAAAGTTGGCTATAGTCAGTTTGGGATTTTCTAGAGACAAACCCTCCAACAAAGTCACACAGATCCTAGATGCACAGTGTATCCGTACTTCAAGGAGTTATGTTGAATATACCAGTCTTCTTAGTTTGGAGAAAACAGTGATTCCAAATATGACCCACAAGTTTAAGGTCACAAGATTTGATGCTTCAGATGATATCAAATGGCTTTCAAATGGGCCATGGTCTATACAAGTCTACATGGAAGCTAGTCATATGTATTCTTCCGATGGAGAATAGATGAGCTTATCTGAAGCACAGATTAGGATAGTTGATACTTTCTAATATACAGAAAGGACTTCTAGCCATTAATGAGAGAAATGAAAGTGTTTAATATGAGACAAGAAGACAGATAAGTACTGAAGATGCAAAATCATCTATATTTCCAGCCTTCTCCTAGATTCCCTGTATACCATTTTGTCTGTGAAGAATATCTTGGAATCACTTAGATAGCTCAGATGTCTACAAGATTTCTTTATAGATGCTCCTTTGCTCTTCACTTCCTTATTTAACAATGGCATGCTTTTGTGATTTTTCTGGTAGTTTCCAGATGACTTAGCTGACTGATGGGAAATTTAGGCCACTTGGGAAATCAGCAGTGAAAGTTCCTTCAGTCTATCTTTGGTGACCTGAAGAGACATGAAGAATTCTCCCAACACTTTCACGTCTATGTTCTTTAAAAACCTTTTTCTTGTCTTATTCTATGCTATTGCTATTGCATATGGGGAAAAAACTCCCCAAAAATGCTATTAACAATGTATCCCTCTCTATATTCCTGTCCATTACTACTGAAAGATGAATGAAGACATCCTTCTTTTGAAAGCAGTTATAAGTACATTTTAAAATAATTATCTATGGGTCATTTTAATTTTTCTCCAGCAAACACAGAGGGCTGGAAATTTTTTAATGATTTTATGTTTTTTAACTTAAAAAAGATAAATCTTGTCAGGTGCTGATGGCCCACACCTGTTATCCTAGCAACTCAGGAGGCTGAGATCTGAGTGGGGATCAAGAAAGTCTGTGAGACTCTAATTTCCAATAAGCCACTCAGAAAAAAGCTAGAAATCGAATTCTGGCTCAAGTGTTAGTGCACCAGCCTTGACCAAAAGAAAATCAGGGACAGTGCCCTGAATTCAAGCACCAGGACCAGCCAAAGCAACAACAACAACAAACAAACAAGATAATTCTCGTTAGACTGCAATGTGGACATTTACCAAGCTTAGGCATCTATATCTGGATCTGAGGAAATTTCACATGCAAATTTATGCTCAGTCACAAGTGTTTTACAACTTGGGAGAAATGTCTTGACCAAACATGCTCTGTTCCCCTAAAACCTAGTAGGTGTCAGTTCTCAGACAGGTCACTCACTCTGAAAATAGGGCCCTCAAGGGCTAGACCATTTCCAGCAAGACCATTGCTTGTAGTGAAAGGGAAAGCAGAGGATGGGAGGGAGAGGTGGCCAGGTGGAGGTCAGTAGCAAGTAAAACTTTCCGAGCTAGGCCTGGAGGAGGAACAGAGATCACCAGATATCACCATATGAGGTCACCATCAAGATTCTCACAGGCCTCAGAGCGCAGAGATCTCCTAAAGTGATGAAATGACTTTATATGAAAAGACAGCTGTTTCCTCAAGATGCAATCACCCACCTGTAGTCGTTATGGCACACAAATGGAATTTGCTTTTGATCTGCAATCTTCTTCAGCTCATTTATGGAAGGATTTGAACATGAGTCACTGGGGAAGAAAGAAGAAAATATTAAAATAACACAATCTCTCAAATATTCCCCCCCCTCCCCCATCTCTTAGTTTCTTCTACATAGCAGGCGTTGGGCAAAGCCCTGGGATAAAGGGATAAAGCAAATGGATACCCCTAAGAGCTCTCAACTCTCAGCAGGGATGTGAAGTGAAGAGGTTGATGGGAAAGGGCTCAAGGGAGAGCAAGGTCTAATCAATCTGTTTTCACTATTTTGCGTGCTGGTTTGCACAAAATGCAGTAAGAGTTACCTGGAAAGTCCTCCAATTTTGTGCATCACCCAGGCTTGTAGTTTACGAACCTTCTTTGGGTTAAAATGAGGCATTTCCACACCTCCAAATGTGCTGAAATAGAACAAATAAGACCATTGCCAGGCCCAAGGAAAAAGGTGGGGTGACATTCATCCTTTTCATCTACAGGGAGCAGGCTGGACACCATTGGTTAGGTTAGTGTCTACCCCGTAGAGCCAACCCACCAATGGTCTGAGAGATAGATGCCTTCTCTCATTCAATATGACCCTTAGCTAGCAAAGACCAGATTTTGAAGATTTGTATTTCTAAGATAAGATTTTGAACTGTATATTGCTACTGGTGTTTTAAAAAATCCATTTGCTACTCGAGCAAAGTTCAAATAATGAGCATAATCAGGGAACAAGAAAGAACTTCCCAGACTCAACCTACAACTATGTGTGAACGTGAAGCCCTCAGGAAGTGCACAAATTTGTAGCCATCTGAGAAGCCCTACTTTGAAAGATAATGATTCCCATTTCTAAACTCTCTCCTGTCAGTCTCTGACAGTTCCCTCCCTGGCATCAGTACTTAGAACCTTAATATCAGATTATAAAATTCTGGAGTGCTCATGATTTTACTAAAAGGCCCATAGAAAAAGGGGGTCAAGGAAGTGGCACTGTGGCTCAAAGTGATAGAGTGCTCACTTAAGGACAGTGCCTAGGCCCACAACTACAAAAAAGGGGGGAAAGAAAGAAAGAAGGAGAAAAGAAAAAGGAAGTCATGAGCCAGTGTTTCTTTGTGAAATTAACCAAAATGTTAAAACAGAAAAAGGAAAAACCACTTTACACTGACCAGAGCAAACACATGCTTCTAGCTCTTGATCATTCTTATTGTAAAAAAAATTAGAGAGCAAAAGCCAAAAGATAATCAATGGAAAAAATCTGTAAGTGTAGAAAGAAGTCAGAGAAGATTCTGGAAGGAAGATTCAGACTTGAGGATTAAATGAGAAATAGTAGGTAATACTCATTGATTAGTTAGGAATAGAGCACAGCCTTTTTTATACGTGTTTCCAGTGAATTTGCATATAGCATTGCTTCTTTAAGCACCAGCATGGGGACTCATCTTAGGCTAGTGCCTAGGTCACACAGATTATATAAAAAGCTCTAGATGTGGTTCAAAGCCAGTCCAGGAAGGTAAGTCCATGAGACTCTTATCTCCAATAAACCACTCAGAAAATCAGAAGTAGCTCTGTGACTCAAGTGGTAGAGTGGGGGGTAGCAAAGATGGCCCTGAGAGGAAGTTGAGTGGGCAGAGCCGGATTTGTTTAGGTTCAGTGTGTCAACAACTCACGGAAGCTTAGGTGCATGTTAAGGTGTGGCCTTTCAGTGATTGGTTGGTTCCATTTCCTCTCCTCCCACGCAGTCTTTTGCTTTAAAAAGGGGATGCTCCCTGTTAATAAACGAGTTCCTGCTTGACTTGACTCCCCGGCACGTCTGATTGTCTCCTGGGCTAAGGGAGGCTGGGGAAAGGGCGAGTGGCCGCAGTTCACTTCGCACTTACCTCTCCTCGGACCCCGTCCGTCGAAAGACTGACGAAGACCCAACAGTAGAGCGCTTGCCTTGAGCTGAGGGACAGCACCCAGGCCCGGAGTTCAAGCCCCATGACAGATCAGAATAGTAGCCAGAATAGTACATAATGCTCACAATGTACTGCCAAGAGACCATGCCCAAAGGTTCTTGTAGGTCCCAATGGTAGTTTTATTGCTGAATTGGAGTCACACTCTTCATTAAGGAAAGGAAAGTCAGGCAGATATTGCTGGATAGTGAGAATTAGACAGGGAGAAGAGGGCAGGGCAGGCAGGTCACATGGGCAAACAGCATGAACCAACATGGAAAATGGAAGGCTGCAAGGTAATGAGAAAGAAAGAATGCTGAGAAAATTATACCAGACCTTGAAAACACAAGAGCAGTGGTTAGAAACAGTGTGATGGCCATTAGGAACATTAGAGGCTTTAGACAAAAGAGAAATCTGCCCACAGCATTGACCCAAGAAGATAAATCTCTCCAGAGAATGCAAGATTTTTACCACTTTAGCCCAAAGCTTGAGGGATGAACTATTCAACAAGAGGCTTTGATAACCTTTGCACACAGGAAAGAAAAAAAGAAATACCTGCTTTTGTCAAAGGGACTAATGATGGAACCATTGAGCATCACCTGAACCACACCACAGGCAGCTTCTGCAAACTAAAGAAGAAAAAAGAAAGAACAAAGATACACACTGTTACTCTTTAGTGTACAAAAAACATCATTCCCTATCATTTTTCCTAACACAGGGTAGGCCCTCAACAAATAAATGAATAGATACTAAGTTACTCAACAGGAGGGTGGTATTTGAATTTAAATGTAGCAATAACCCTTTCAAACAGCAAAGTCCTGATCTCCATTGGACAAACAAAGAGTCTGAAGGTCCATATGATTAAGGAATCTGCTCAAATCCTAGGCCAGTTCCCTGCTTCACCAGGCCAAGGTTTATTTGAATCACCTTAAAGCAGAATTTAGCTAGGTGCCAATAGGGAATTAAAGAAGATCAAATAAGAGAGATCAATAAACAGATCTTTAGAAATGAATTAAAGAAAGTAACTTTGGAATCAGTCAGACCTAGGTTAGACAGTAGGCTCCAATATCTGAGTCACTTAATCTAGGAATCTTAGTTTTGTTCCTTCTCATAGCGTCTACTGAGAAGCCTAACTAGAAATGACAAAGAAGGCACCTCTGGACCAGCCAAACATGAAATGTGACAAATCCACTACCATAGTTTGAATACAAGTATTCCTCTGCTCACATCTCCCTCGAAGTCATAAGTCGGGAACTAAGGTCCAGTGTGTAGCATGAGGTCGTAGGGGCTTGGCCCTCAAAACGGGATTCGTACTCCCATGAGAGGCTCCAAGGAACTAGCCAGGCATAGTTTGCTCTTGTGCCTTCCGCCATGTTGAACCCAGCAGAGAGGCGCCATCTTGGAGGCAGAGAGCTCCTGCCACTAGGCACTGAAATCTGCTGGAAGCTTGACATCCAAGCCTGCATCTTGGTGGAAAAAAAAAATACACGTATGCCCTTTATAAATTCTTTGCTCTTAGGTGTTTTATTATAGCAGCACATAGGGATCGTAGCACATACACACACCTCCACCCCTCAGCTGTCCAAGAGGAACTCTAAAGATTCATAATTAGTATCTTTTTCACCTTCCCTCTTTTTTCCTGATCTTTTCACTTCTTTCTTAATTCTTTCATTCCTTTTCTTAAAAAAGTCTACTTTTAAAGAAGCCATTCCTTGAATACTTACAAACAGCAATTTGTGAGATGGATAAATATGCAGAGGCTGCCTCCATTGAAGTCAGATGTGGATAGTGGGTGAGGGTTCTGATGTGCATTTCTCAACTCAGATTCTGGTTCTGAGTCGGACAACTTGGAATATACTCTCATGTCTGCTATTTGTTAACTTTGCACGTTTAGAAGATGGCTTATTTGCCATTTTGTCATCTATAAAGTGGGCATAATACTCAGTACTTCATAGCAATGTCAGCAGGATGGACCTTCCATCTGTCTGTCTATCTGTTTATCCATTCATCCACGGTACTGAGGTTTGAACTAAAGGCTTTGTGCTTGGTAGGAAGACATTCTTCTGCTTGAGCATGCCTCTAGTCCCCTTTCCCCCATCTCTTTGGGGTTTCTTTGCTCTGGTTATTTTTCAGATAAGGTCTTGCATTTTGCTCAGGTCAGCCTGAATCATGATTCCCCTATTTATGCTTCCCACTGTAGCTGGGATAGCCAGGAGCATACAACCATATGCAGCTGTTTCTGTTGAGAGGGAGTCTTGCAAACTTTTTACCCCAGCTGTCCTTGAATTCCTATATTCCCTATCTCTACCTCCTGTGAAGCTAGGATTGTAGACATGAGCCACCAGCATCCAGTTGGATGGAAGTTCTTAATCTGTGTGGATCTGAGCACACAGGAAGTGATCTATAAATATAGGCTTTTACCCTATTCTAGGAATTTAATTAATACCTGATGCAGAGGATTAGACCAAGCCCCAGCTTTCTGGCAGCCATAGCCAAAAGGCATGGGTCAAGACAAGAACTCTTCAACTGGACCCCACAGAGCCCCTGCAGATGCTCTAAAATTATATGTAGAAACCTTCTGACTTTTCAATCTTTTCCTTGGGAAGTATCCTATAGTTTCACTTAGGATAAAAGACTTATGATCTGAGAAGTGTGTGTGTGTGTGTGTGTGTGTGTGTGTGTGTGTGTGTGTGTGTGTGTGTGTTTCAATATCTGACTAAATAGCACATTTCATTCTTTTTTTTTGTCGGTCGTGGGGCTTGAACTCTGGGCCTGGGCGCTATCCCTCAGCTCTTCAGCTCAAGGCGAGCGCTCTACCACTTGAGCTACAGCGCCACTTCCAGTTTTCTGGTGGTTTATTGGAGATAGGAGTCTCATGGTCTCTCCTGCCCGGGCTGGCTTTGAACCACCATCCTCAGATCTCAGCCTCCTGAGTAGCTAGGATTACAGGCGTGAGCCACCAGCGCCCGGCGCACATTTCATTCTTTACTCCCAGAATTCTAGAATTTTTACTGCTGAGTACTTACCTTCCTAGACATGACTTTCCAGAACACCGACTTGGGGTTGTTAGGGCAATCTCTCCAGTTTGGGCAAGAGTGCTCATTCATTTCTAAAAGACATAGTTTATGGAAAATAACTAAAATGGGAGAGCATATCATTATGTTTTATTCATCCTTGGCTGTTCAATTACAGTTGAAACCATTTTCCAACAGCATTGCTGCCAAGATGGAGGCTGGAGAATGGACACATCTCAGTCCAATTCAAGTAAGTGTCCCCTGAAACCCTTCCAAGTCCTTGCCTTACCCTCCACACAGACAGGAATACAGGCAGAGGGGGTTTTTTGAGTCATCATTCTGGGAAATGGCAGTTCACTTGATCAAAAGTCCCCATGTCCAAGAAGAACTACACTTGAGATCAAAGCAATAGAGCATGTTCCTGGCAATACTTCTCTATGGGGAGTTTCCTTCTCTGCCCCCAGACATCCTTGGGCTCAGATGGTTTCAGAGGCTCTATACACACTCAGCCTCATCAACACAGGCTCAGAGCTCAGTGAGAGAGAAGACTTAGAGTGTGAACACATAGGTTTTGCATTACTTCTCCCATGGAGCTCTGCTTTCATGGGTGCTATGTCCTGAGGGACAGGGTTAGATGGGAGTCTTCTTTTAGAAGTTAAGTACTTGATGAAATGAAAACAAATGACGGAAAGATCAGCTTGGGTTGGGGGCACTGTGTAGTTTCGTCGGGGAAGGTTGATGTTGAAATTTGTCTTAAAGAAGAAATAGGGATCTTCTTCCTACTGACTAGAAACAGGGGGATACTCCAAGCAGAGTACATGCATAGGAGAATTTTGAGACAGCCTGATGTGCTTAGATCAGTGATTCTAGAATAGACTTGTGAAAAACAGAGGCCAGGCTAGGCCAAGGAATTTAGACATTACTCAAGAGGCCAAAGAATGCTTTGAAAGTCTTAGGTAGCAAGTGGATAGAACTATGTTTTCATTTCACAGATGGCACTGTGGGTTTTTTTTTATTATTTATTTTTTTGGGGGCACTGTGGTTTTTAAATGGAAGCTGATCTGAATGAGTAGAGAATGATTAGCAAGATACTGCAATGTTCTCAGCCAGAAAGCACAATAGCTAAGTAGAAATACTATATTGATGGACCACTTGGTCATAAACATGCATGCATTTTTCTTTTAGCTACCCCACCCACCCCTAGGCTATCATACCAGAACAGTTATCTTTCACCTTGTGTGTGTCATAATAATTTGTCCTGTTCTCTGGATAATCACATTCTCAACTAATATTTTATGGGAAAACATCTGGTTAAATCACCCTTTGATCAAAGGAATGCTCAGGAGAACAGACATCTGTATCTCCAAGACTCAGACTCAGCAAAACTATCCAGATTTAATATTTCTGGGCCAAACTGATGTCAACACATGTAATAACAAAAATGGCTGAGTATAATAGGTGATCAGAACAAAGGAGCACTAGCTAGGCACTGGTGGCTCACACCTGTAATCCTAGCTACTCAGGAAGCTGAGATCTGAGGATCAAGGTTCAAAGCCATCCTGGGCAGGAAAGTCTATGAGACTCTTATCTTCAAATAATCATCAGAAAACAAGAAGTAGAGCTGTGGATCAACTTGGTAGAGTGAAAAAGCTCAGGGCCAATGTCTAGGCCCTGAGTTCAAGCCCCACAATGGTAAAAGAAGAAGAAAAAAAGAGGAGCACTAACCCAAAGGTTTAAACTAAGCCCTTGACCTACTTTGTTTTAGCAAACATATCCCTGATGTTAGAAAGACTCATTGCTTTCTTCTCGGTGCCTAACCTGTCTATGGCATGTGCTGTGTTTTTTGCTGTGCTTGCTGAAGAACATTGTGCTAATCTCTTACCCTGTGATCCAAGTCTTTTTCCATATCAGATAAGGATCTGAGGGCCAGCAGAGATCTTCTCCCTCTTGGGGAACTCCTGGGAACCCCACTGGCCCTCAAGGGCACTTACTATGAGTGTTGGGGTCACCACACCATGAGAGTTCATTAGCCAAGTAGCCCAGAAACGTGTCCTCCAGGGTGAACATTTCCTGCTGGATCCTTGTATACTGATGAGCCAGGTCACCGGATTTGCTCCAAAAGACAAACTGGAAAAGAATTCATGAAAACGCTTGCAGAAGTGATTTTAGCAGAAAGAACAGTAAAGAAAAACCTATCAGAGTAAATGGCCTGCAGTAGAGCCAAGGAGGTAAGGGTTTTTATCTGCATTAGTAACTTTGTGGTGTATGCGTGTGTATGTGCTGATACTGGGCTTGACTGAGAGTTTCAAGTTCCTACTGAGCTTTTGCCCACAAGCTAGTGTTCTACTACTTGAGCAAAATATATAGAAATAAAACTAATAAAAAGCACCCAAGTGCAGATGAGCATTGCTACTATACTAATTTATTTATTTATTTATTATGAGACCAGGGACATTTCATAATTACATAAAGTTGGGTTGCTTTTGTTTTTCTGTATGAATTGGTATTAGTATTATGTTTTGTTTTACCTGCTTTTGGGGGCCAACTCTTTTGCTTTTCCTGTGTCCCCATTTCATTTCTACTCTCCTTTCCCAAATCTAAACCCTGACATGATTCTAGCTTCCCAAAGCCCAGCAAACTCCATCCCCGCCAACCACAATCACTACTACTCAATGCCTACATTGTTCTCTTCATCTTAATCAAAATTTGGTCATTAGGGGCTGGAAAGGTGGCTCAGTGGTAGAGCGCTTGCCTTGCATGCATGAGGCCCTGGGTTCGATTCCTCAGTACCACATAAGCAAAAAGAAAAAAGCCAGAAGTGGCGTTGTGGCTCAAGTGGTAGAGCGCTAGCCTTGAGCTGAAGAGCTGAGGGACAGCGCCCAGGCCCAGAGTTCAGGCCCCATGACCGGACCCCCCCTCCCAAAAAAAATTTTTTTGGTCATGATTTCTTCCCTCTGGCTTTTATCTCCTGTTTTTAAATCAATACATTTCCCTATCTACCTTATCGCAGGGTAAAGTTTGAGTATCCAACTCAATTAGTGGTTGATAGTCTTCCTCTGTGATGTTGCAAGGATGCTTTGAAATAAATGCACTTTTGAATGTATTCATTATCCTGACGCAGTCTGTGCTTCTGTAAGATATAACATGGGAAATAAAAATAAAACAAAATATAGACAAATTACAAAGTATCAGTGGAGTATACTAACCAAAAAATAACCAAACTTCTTTTGGGAAGTACCAGTTAGGTGCCTGGTGCCTCACATCTGATGTATACAACCTGCTTATATGAGGTTGGAATTAGGGCCCTGCCCAAGCTCGAGGAAATGTGGATGACCTTCTGAAGTTCACACAGTTGACAAAAAGGTAGAGCAAGATTCAATCTGTGTCTGTCTGATGCTAGGGATTGAGGCTATTAATACTGCTATCTAAGTGACAGAATATCTGCCTACCAAACATGAAGCCTTAAACTCAAACCCCAATACAAGGAAGGAAGGAAGGAGGGAGGGAGGGAGGGAGGGAGGGAGGGAGAAAGGAGGAAAAGAAAGAAAAAAAAAGAAAGAAAGGGAGGAAGGAAGGAAAGAAGGGAAAAAAGAAAGAATGGAGAAAGAGAAGAAAGGAAAGAAGAAAGAAAATGAATAAGTAAATAACTGAATGGTGGGGTACATATGATCAAAGTTCATTATATGCTTGCATGAAAATGTCAGGATGAAATTCCTTTCTATGACTAATTTACTATATGCCAATAAAAAACATCTATGGATGCTCAACCTATTTTTTTTCTTCAAATTCTTTTCATTCCAAAACTAGAAGTCTTCCTGATGAGTGGGAGCCGACTGTGCGGTGACAGCTGGAAGCCCGGTGGCTGTCCCCAGGGCTCGGGCTGGGCCTGAGGCCTTTGGCACCTGAGCCAGCAATGCCTTTGGAGGTGACCTGGCTCAGAGGTCCTCACAATAGCACAACAGAGGGTCAGCTGCAGAGCTCACCGTGCCCAGCTGCAGACCAACCAAGTCAGAATGGGAAGGGGCAGGGGGTAAAACTGGCAATGTGTTCCAAAGTTCTCCCAAAGACTCCCAATGGTCACTTAGTAGCCCTGACAAGTGTCTCTAATTAAGCCCTTTCAGGAATGGGGCTGAACAGGAAGTTCAGTTCAGTGAGGAAGTGTGACAAGCCTAGGGCTATACAATCCCAGCTGTTAGGCAACCAGTCATTTAATAGCTTTACTGAGCACTTAAATGAAATCAGAAGAGGTCCTGGTTCCTGCTAGGTGGCCATCTCTCCTACTGTAGACGTCGAGCTCCAGTCAGTGCAATGATCGCAACAATCACAACAATGAACATTCAGGGGGCACTTCTCAAGAGGGCATCTTGCTAAATGTTTTTCAAGCATGTCATCAGCTTCTTCTTTGTATGCCATTCCTGGGGCTTGAACTCAGGTCGTGGGAACTGTCCTAGAGCTTCTATGCTCCAGGCTAGCACTTTACCCCTTGAGCCAAACGTCCACTTCCAGCTATTTGGGGTAGTTAATTGAAGGTTAGAGTCTCTTAGACTTTGCTGGGCTGTCTTTGAGCCTCAGTCCTCAGATCTGTCTCTGAGTAACTAGGAATACCAACACGAGCTCCAGTGCCCAGCTCTCATTGGCTTCTTAGTCACACACAAACCTATTGTGGTTGTATATATTTTACCTATAAACTCAGAAACCCAAATAACTTACCCAGGAGTCCCCAGCTGGAGTGTCCCCACCAGCATTTACACCTAATACAGAGATACCTGCTGCAGTTAGACAAACAAATATGAAGACAACATCATTGCGTCTGAACTAGTCAGGCACAATTCTTTCCTTGTAAGACTATAAGACCTGGGTATCCTCAAGTGATTTCTTTTTTTTTTTTTTTTTTGGGGGGGGGGTCTGGTCGTGGGGCCTGACCTCTGGACCTGGGCACTGTCCCTCAGCTCTTCAGCTCAAGGCTAGTGCTCTACCACCTGAGCCACAGCGCCACTCCTGGCTTTTTTTCTTTTTGCTTATGTGGTGCTGAGGAATCGAACCCAGGGCCTCAGGCATGCAAGGCAAGCGCTCTACCACTGAGCCACCTTCTCAGCCCCTCCTCAAGTGATTTCTTGTCAAAAGAAAACACGTTTCCTTCTAGTGGTCTGTGAAAATGCTCAACAGCTCTTATTATGAGTGGCAGCCAGTTCAATCTCCCTGTACATGAACTTCTGGCTCTTTGAGATCTTTAAAGAAATTTAGGTTTTTCCTAACATAAGGCCCTTTAATGTCTTTGCAAATAAAAAAGAAAGGACATACTGCCTGTCATTTCTACTTTTGAGTTTGCAGTGTGAGGAGAGAAATAATAATATGTTTTTAAAAACGGCATCAGCCTACTTCTTAAAATGTCTGTCCCTTTGTGTCACTGACAAATTTTGTTGTTTTATTGAGCGCATTGTTTGGACTTCCTTTCTCTTTGCTCTCACTTAAGTCCTTCATTGTGTCATTATGCATTTTGAGGGTCACATGTCGTGGATTGTATCACTGTTCAGCTTTCTTTTCTCTCTCTCTCAGGAGACTCTGATTTCCTAATCCAAGAAATGATCACAGGCCAGATGTTTTGGCTTCCTCTTCCATAGATATCAAATGCACAAGCTGTTGGTGGAGATGTTGGTGATAAAGGAAGGCTGTGGCTCTTATCTTCAGAGCTGGCCTGGGCCTGAGTCTTAAGTTTCTTTATTTGACACAAACATCAGACAGAGCCATGTGATCTCAGTGGACTGCGATGTGAACACAAAGACATCCACATCACAAGGAAATGACCAAGCAAACTGCCTTCTATCCAAGCTGATAGGAATGACCACTACTTCACCTATTATTACAACTTCCATCCTCATTCTTCCAACCTGGTGGATGGGATTTATTAAGATCTTGTATTTTAGAATTGCACCCATACCCTCTGCTTCTGGAAAATGAGCAGGCCACACCAGCCTCCTTGAATCGTCCACAAATCTCCAAGACAAGCCAAATTTTCTAAGTCATCTGGAAATCTCTCCTGACCTTGGAACTCCATATGATGTGTCCTTCCTTCTTGTGAGAGCAATCGATGCACCTTGTTCAATGACAGTTCCTAGTGGTCACAGGTGGGGAAATGGACAGCAATGACCAATCATGAATGAGACATCGAAGAATCAAGAGGTCTGTGATGAGTGTGATGCCTTCATCTGTGTATTGGCGTGGCAGAAGCTGAACAGGTAGAAACAGCCCAGACAGGCTGTTGGCAAGAACGTTCTCATGGTTGGCTGGCCCAAGGGTTGGGATTAAAGGTAAATGGCATGCTCTCTCCTTTCCTACACTCTGCTCCTGGCAATGGACCCCAGAACTCCCACCCGTCCTGTCTACCATCATTACTTCCGCTAGCTCACCTCTCATCCCTACCCTTTCCTCTGATTTATCCAAGGCAGCCTGACTTCTGGTGGCCAGAGGTAGACTTAGAAGGAGAATGAGAGCGATGACTGCCATACTATGCTTTCCACATGTCAGACTCTGTGCTAAGTGCCAAAACTCTGAGGCTCAGAGCAGTGTACTTTGCCCAAGGCCAAACTAGCTCATTGCCAGAGCTGTATTCTATTGTTAGACAATGCTGCCTCCCACAGGAAATTGAAAGGCAGAGGCCTAGCCTCAGAATTGAGTAGGTTCCAGCAGAAATAAAGCAAAACCCTGCAGGGAATTATGGTCCCCCTAGATCTCAGAAGTTCAAGTTCAGAACAGGGCACAGGTGTTCCCAGAAGCTGAGATAAAATGAGGGGGTAAAAAGTCTTATGCCCAGCAGTGAGAAGCATCTGCTTCTGATATATTTGATCATTAAACACATTTGGTCATTAAACATAGTTTTGTTTTGTTTTTTTACATTGTCAGCCTGCATGAGATATCAGAACTCTTGTGCTGGCTTTTGTTCTCTGGACTTGACACCATTCCTCCAAATAACCATGTTTCCAAGGTCTCATCGGTAAAGCAACACCACCATGAACCATATCACATCCCAAATCCAAGCTCCCAAGAATCTGCACATCTGCAGAGGGAGGGGTAGATCTACCCTCCCTCTCGCCCCATCCCCCCCCCCCAACTTCTGCAGGGACTCTGCTCAAGGAAAACAAGTAGGTAGGTTAATTGTGGTATTTCATTCTCAAATTGAGGTTCTCGGAGCCTGTATTAAAAGTAAAGATTGCCCCCTTGTGGGAAAAGTGAGTGACTAGAAAGAGTCGCTGAAGCAAGATTCCTAAGGTCTTCAAAATCAGAAGGAATGTTGAGAAAGCATTCTTTCTTATTGAAGAGGGGTGGCGTTGATCGAGATGTATGCATAAACTGCTTTGGTGAATCACAACTCCTTTGTACAAAGTACACAGAAATAATAAAAATATTCAGAGAAAAGGAGAATGATGACAACTAAAATAAGCCATTAATGCTTTTGAGTACAAACAAATTATGCAAATGTGCATGGTAATTCTACACATATTTAGAATTCACCAATTTACTTTTGATCCTTATTGATTCCATTCTCAGATGTTTTTTAAAATTTTTCTTCATGGCTATATTTTATGCATATATTACTTAATATACTTTTCTTTTATTACTTTTTCTCACCATTATTATAAAGGTAATGTTCAGAGGGGTTACTGCTTCGTAAATCAGGTAAGGAGTACATTTCTTCCTGGACAATGTCACTCCTTCCTTCATACTCTATTAATTTTTCCTCCCAACCCTCCTCATTCTTAGAGGTTTATTGTTGTCTTTTCCTTGTCTTTGACAAATGAGTCCTTATTTCTTCTGCTTCTGCACATTATTTAATAATGAAAGGATTTAAAAATAAAAATCTACCTCTGACTATAACTTTGGCCATACCTCAAACTTTGATTGAATTCTCTAAGTACTCTTAATTATAGTTTGATGTCTTTTATCACAACTTAATAATTAGACATTATTAAATATCTTAATTACTTTAACAATCATTTAAATAACAATCAATTTTACTATCATTAGATAATTAAAAAGCATTCCTTCTTTCATTAATCCAACAATTATTCATTGAATATATATTATGTATATTTATAAACACACAGGATCTACCCAAGAACAAAACAGCCATAG